ATCTGAAACTGGTTATTATATCGCAGCGCCTCGGCCGGAAATTACCTCGAGATGACTGTATTTGTAAACAAAACTAACCTTACCCAACATTCTTTCCCGGGTTAATTGACATTTCAAAAGAAAACTTACCTTACTCAACATTCTTTACATAGATGATTTCAAAAGAAAACTTACCTTAGCCAACATTCTTTCCTGGATAGACTGACAATTCAATAGAAAACTAACCTTACTCTACATTCTTTACCGGAATGATTGTCATTTCAAAATAAAACTAACCTTACCCAACATTATTTTCTGAGTTGATTAACATTTCAAAAGAAAACTAACATTACCCATTACATTGCAATGTATGTCATTTCAAAAAAAAAACTACCCTTATTCAACATTCTTTTCCGGAATGATTGCCATTTCAGAAGATAACTAACCTTACTCAACATTCTTTACCGGAATGATTGTCATGTCAAAAGAAAACTGACATTACCCAGTACATTGCAATGTAATGTAACGTTAACCAACATTCTTTCCTGCATAGACTGACATTCCAAAAGAAAACTAATCTTACGCAACATTCTTTACCTGGTTGATTGACGTTTCAAAAGAAAACTAATTTTACCCAACATTCTTTTCTGGGTAGACTGACATTTCAAAGAAAACTACACTTACTCAACATTCATTTCCGAAATGATTGTCATTTCAAAAACTAACCTTACTCAACATTCTATTCTAGAGTGATTGACATTTCATAAGAAGCTATTCCTACTCAATATTCTTTACTTGGATGATTGAGGTTTCTAAAGAAAACCAAACTTATCCAACATTCTTTCTTGAATTGACTGTCATTTCAAAAGAAAACTAACCTCACTCAACATTCTTTTCCGGAATGATAGTCATTTCAAAAGAAAACTAACCTAACCCAACATTCTGTCCTGAGTTGATTGACATTTCAAAAGAATAACGGCCTTACCTATAATTTCTTCACTGTATTATTGACATTACAAAAGAAAACTAACCTTACTCAACATTCTATTCTAGAGTGATTGACATTTCATAAGAAAACTATTCTTACTCAACATTCTTTACTTGGATGATTGACGTTTCAAAAGAAAACAAAACTTATCCAACATTCTTTCCTAAATTGACTGACATTTCAAAAGAAAAGTAACCACACTCAACATTGTTTTCCCTAATAATTGTCATTTCAAAAGTAAACTAGTCTTACCCAATATTTTTTCCTGGGTTGATTGACATTTTAAAAGAAAACTGACCTTAAGGTGAGTTTAGACATGCATGGATTTAGTGGCGCCAGTAGTTGCGCCAGTTCTATTTGCAGGCCAGTAAAGGTTTACACTACACGTGCGAAAATAAAAATAAGTGACACGCTAGTTTCATTTTTAAAGTAAACACTCAAGTAATCAACTATATACACAAATTAGGACCTCAACCGAAACGAACATAGATATATTATAGGCTTAATGTGGATAATTAAACGTTATCTTTGAATCTGTTAACGTAATTTGAATTTAATTATGAATGCAATGTAACATAACCTAAATTTGACATTAAAAAATGTTGTGTTTTTGTGAATACTCATCTATGTTGTCATGGTTATATGTTTTTAGACTCATCACTGGCGCCAGTGATTTCAGAAGGGTAATGTATGATTTCAACTTGCATGCCAGTTGATGTTTACACGTGCCATTTAATTTTACTGGCGCGCCAGTTTGTATTGGCGCCACTAAATCCATGCATGTCTAAACTCAGCATTACTCAACATTCTGTACCTGGATAATTGACAATTTCCTTTCCCAACAACCTCTTTACGATGACTGACATTTGCAAAGAAAACTAACCTTATCTATTAAACCAATAAAATTAAGCAACAGATTTTGCAGCGTATTGGCTGTTAACCAAAGTCGTTTATGAGCAAAATGCTACATAGGATAACGTGTCTGTACAATATTGGACCATATACAGGGTCGCTGATATATATGGAATGTATCGATTATTTCCTAGAATAAAGTAGCCAGCGAAAAATGTTAGTGGTAGTGTTTTTGAAAATCTATTAGAATAAAGTCAAATTAAGTATATAGGGTTAGTTCAAAAGTTATGATGAAACAAAGTTACGTTTTTTTAATGGAACACCTGTATATTATTTTATATTTTGTTCGAAATTCCAAACAAAATTCATATAGCACATCAACTTAATGGTTTTCAAAAGAAAAAAGTTCAATATCTCGAAAACGGTTTAGAATTTTTTAATTTGTTTAGAATTTCAAGATAAACTGAAATATGGAATAACATACAGGTGTTCCATTAAAAAAAACGTAACTTTAAAAAACGTTACTTCCTCCTGTATGCTTAATTTGTTATAATAGATGTTAAAAACACTACAACTTTTATATCTCAACATTTTTCGCTCGCTATCTTATTTAAAGAGATAACCGATCGTTTCGATATATATCAGACATCCTGTATATTGAAACGCCTGATTAACCTAAGACCTCTCCTTAATGAGGTGATATCAGACTTTTTTTGACCTTGCTATTAAGGTGAAGTTTGAATTAAGTAAAATCATATATTCTCTGTTTTAAGTTAAATAGGGAACGTTGGTTTAATTAAGACGAATGATGATGTCGGCTCAGAAAGATTATATTATAACGGTTGTGTTAGATTGAAACTTGGAATTAAAAGTTAAAATCATTGAGACGAACGAGATACACGTTAAAATTTTACTTTAGTTTTTTTTTTTTTTTGTTCTATCCAAAAAAAAACTCAGAACCAAAAAAAAGAAAAAACTAAAGTGTTAGATTGATGCAAGCAGCCTCAAATAAACCAGGCAGCATCATGTATTCTATATATTATGTTATCTAATATTGTATCAATTTATCAAACATGACTACCTCAGCCTAGGCGCAATGAGGCAATAATTAGGGGAGTGTGTCCTTTGTTCAAAGAAAGACTTAAAATGTAAAATATTTTAAGTTTCTTTGGATGAGCAACTCGTACAGTTTTGAAAAACAGAATCAGCAAGTAAATGTGTAAATAGTGTATAAAGCAATATTTTTGAAGTTTTATTTTTTTGGACGTATTGATGTCTATCATATAACCTCTAAAGGCTCGTAGGAAACACATAGAACTCAATGACAGTTAACTGGGCGTGGCAAATAGTGTGACGTAGAGTGCGGGCAACCAACCCGTAGTGGGATACAAAACAACAACGTTGACATTTTTAAATAAGTTCAAAGAGATGTTTGCTATATCTGTCAAATTGCTAAAAAGTTGGTAACAGTTGACAATATTACCAGAGAATTTGGTTGTATCATGTTTTGAAACCAAATTGACGTTTACAATTCAAACTTCTTATTGAAAGAGTTACTAAAATTGTTACCAAAAATCATGTCTAACTAAAATGTCACAAAATCAAAAAAGAACATAAAGTTTAAACTAAAACTAGAACTAACAGTTCTTCAGAAAAAAGTTCGAAGTGACAAAATCGGTTAAAATTTTGACAATAAATACAAAAAAAGATAATTAATAACTAATTAATATTTAACTAAGTTATTTTCATTCGGTTTTATCTACCGTCCTTATGTTTCAGGTATGATGGAGCGAATTGCTAGGTGTCTGAAGAAGAAGGGTATCGTGGTATGATACGGTACGGCTATCAGCTATTCCGATAGCCAAAGACAAACTAACCCCATTAAAGGGAGCGGGAATCTATCGGCTATTATCCAGTTACGGGAAGTATTATGTTGGCCAAACTGGACGTAACATCGAATGTCTCATCAAGGAACACGAGAGGGACATCCGACCGAATAACATCCAGCAATCTGCAGTTACGAAGCAATGTCACAAAGGAGGACACACCATGGAGTTCGACAAAACTAAAGTGCTAGCAAGAACCGGACATTATTTCCAAAGAATGACGACAGATTCATCGACATGGGAATAACATGAATGGAGAAGACAGCTGGGAACTCAACCACACAGGGAAGATGCTAGCAAACTCAACGAAACCTTCTCCGCATGGATTTAACAAAACGGATTTCGGCATCCGAAAGTTTCTAGGTGTAGTGTTAATTCTAATGATAGTGCTACTATTAGTTTTAGCTTAATTAAAATACAGAATTACAAATACGAGGATGAGGAATTCATTGAAGGCAGGATATCTGAATAAAATCTAAATAAATATCTAAATGATATGTTAAATTTCAGTAAACGATCTCATCTTTATTATCAAGTGTCCCACATTTTGAAAATTAGTTCATGCAAGCTGGTGTACGCCCCTACAGATCGTTAGGGTGTTTGGAGAGTTCACTGTGTTAATTAATTATCGTAACCCACGTGACCTGTGTAATATTGGTTGCATATCTCAATATGTAGTGGTAGCTTGGATAATTTTAAATTAGTAACCAGATGTTGACAGCTGATCGTATGTTATTGTTGTGTTTTTTGCTGCCTTTATATTTTTCAAAACAGTTCTTTTTAGAACTATCGTTGTTTCTAGCGGTTGCTTTAAGTCAATAAATAAATCAAAATAACCACTAGTTTCAACATTAATTTGAATCTATGGGTACACCAAAAATCATTTTAAATAAAAGCACAGAAAGTTAGATCTTTTTTTATATTTAAAATATTTTGAGTTAATGAATTCTCGCCATCGCTTTTAGGAACTTTCGTCGCGTTGCAATACCAATCTGTGATATTGGTTGCATACTTTGTCGGGTACGATAATTAATTAACACACTGTACATTCTGGTTATGGAAAATCAGAGGCCAATGGAATGGGAATCAGATGTTCTCTTAATATCAACAAATTTTTACTAATTTTGACTAATTTCGACTTATGGAGCAATATCAAAGACAAAGTTTACGTAAAGAGATCATCGAAAACATCCATCGCAAGTATATTTCCACTCGCGGATTTGATTCCGTTCCAGAAACAAGCTAAATGCGCAATCGTTGAATATAAATACACTTTAAAATTTATATATTTTTTATGGATTTATTAAATTCAAAAACAAATTCATCTCTTTTATAGTTTTTATCGTATACAATATTGAGCATCTAAAAAGAAAAAAATAGTTCCATTAAGTCTCAGAATGTTAAAGAAATTTAACTTAAAAAAATTACCTTGCGTCGTTTCAACGATCCATTGTATATATGATGTTACCCTAGTATTTACACTGGCTGTATTTCCTGCACAACCGTCTCCATAAGATATAACCCCAACCAAATGCAATCTCCTAGTATCGTAATCTTCCCATAAAACTGGACCACCAGAATCAAATTGACAAGCATCTTTCATAGGGGTATATGTGCACATTTCTGTGTCGTAAATAGTTACGGACGTATAATTTCGTCTACAGTCCGGTAGCGCCATCACTTGAACATCAACTTTCTGTAAAACATCCGAAGTTGGCCCACTATATTCAACTTGGCCCCAACCTAAAATCAGAGTCATACATGTGTTTGATGGTTTAATTATTATGAGATCTTCTAAATTGCTTGTTAAAATATATTTTTAAAAATTTACCTAACAATGTTACATATTGTCCACTAAAATCTCGATTAGAATATTTAAATGGCAAACAAGCAGGTCCTACTTTCTCCGAAAACGCTATTTTTGTCGTACTTTCCACAATAGCAATATCATTTTTTCTGGTGCCAGCATCAAAATTAGCATGAATTTTATAATCTCTAATCGTATATATAGCAGCAGCATCGGTATCAACTCCAGTTGAAGGATCATGATCGCCAACCAAAATTATTAAGTTTGATGTTTCACTCGTTGTAAGACAATGAGCTGCTGTAATAACATATTTATTTGAAATTATTGTAGCCCCACAAAAAATCAATTGTCTTGTTCGATGGTATAAAGCTGCCATGTAAGGAAATTCATTAATTCCGGTTTCCACACCACCAACGATTCGTTTTTCATGTTTCCAACCGCAGTCACAACTATCTGGGCGTTGAGTTGTTGTGGTTGTTGATGGAATTGTTGTAACTGAACACATTATTCGACCACCAGTTGAATAATAAGAAGCAATTAATGCTAAAAAATATTTTTTTTGGTTTTGATTAAAAATTAATTATTAAAGCATAATTTACCGATCGAAAGGAGATTTGATTGTGATATTAAAGATAAAGTTCCATTTCCACAAAATGCTTGGGCATCCGTAAACTGAGTATTTCCGGTTAATGATACCAATAAGCGATCATTGTAACAATTTTGACTCTAAAACAAATAAAAAAAACAGTTAATTATACTTAAAATTTATGTCAGTTATTTTTTAAATATTTACAGCTGGAATAATAACTTCTTCGCAGCTTAAATAAATTTGGGTTCCGATTGGACTTCTTGCATACCATCTACAATTAGTTCCGGGAGCGTACTTAGAAGGATACTCTGGATTGTAGACGTAATAAATTTGTCCTGGTGATAACTCTTGATCGTAGATGCAATTTTGAGCACCCACCAAAGTTGTTATCGGTAGGAAAACGTTCATTAACGACGTCCAAATCATTATGGTTCTAAAAAAATCTGAAATATAAAATTATATTTTAAATATAATTGTTTTTGAGATTAAAAAAACTTACTCCAACCCATATTAATTTTTATTTTTACTTCACAATATAGAAAAAAAGTGGTGTAAAAGTGTTATTTCTACAACGAAGTCAACATTATACATAAAAAAAATGAAATGTTTGTTACAACATAACTAATCGGTTCAGAAAAAGCATTTATACTTGAAATTCCAAAACGACAGTTTGCAAATGCGTCGTTATTATTGAAATACCAGATAAGCGCCGACAATGACGGTTTATTGTTATACGACAATCGTAAAAGACTTAGCACAAAACGTATGGAAGAGAGATAATGTCGGATGTCAAGTAATATGAACTATTTTTCATAGTTAAAACGAACATTTCTACGTAGTGTCATATTATGTTGATTTATTAATCGGTTAAAAGGAAAAATTTTAGTTTTAATTTCTTAATGCACCTTTCCATTACATTTTTTTAATATTTATTTAATTTTATTCTACTTGTGAAATAAATGTCATAATGAAGATCAAGAAATAAGTTTAACCGTCTTGTTATTAATTACAACGTGCGATGTATTCATCTGGTAGCAGTATCTAGTCATCTTCCACCAGTATCTTGTCTTCAGCCAGTGGTATCTTGTCATCTGCAAGCAATAAGTAATCTTCTACCTGCAGTATGGAAACCTCTATGATCTGTATAAATAGTATCCGGTAATAATTTCGGTAAATAATTTCGGTAAATAATTTCGGTAATTGTCATCAGCCAGAAGATTTTAGCCTGCCACAAGCAATATTTTATCAATTTGTCTTGAATTAACAGTATTTAGTTTTCTACCAGAAGTATTTAATCATCTGCCAGCAGTTTCTAGTCATCTGAAAGCTGTAAGTAACTTTCTGCCTGCAGTATATAGTCCTCTGGTAGCAGTATCTGGTCTTCTTCCACCAGTTTCTAGTCTTCAGACAGAGGTATTTAATCCTCTATAAGCAATAAGTCTTCTACCTGCAGTATGTAACCCTCAGTCTTTTGTAAATAGTATGTAGTTGTCTTGGAGCAGTAAGCAATTTTTTTGCCTTCACTACCTAACACTCTCTCACTCGTAACCAGTCATCTGCCAGAAGATTTTAGCCTACCACAAGCAGTATTTTATCGTTTATTCTTCAATTAACAGTATTTAGTGTTCTACCAGAAGTACCTAATCACCTACCAGTAATATCTAGTTATCTGCAAGCAGTAAATAATCTTCTGCCTACAGTGTATAGTCCCTTGAAAGCAGTATCTAGTCTTCCTAGACTACCAGCCAGATGTTGTATATTGTGTAACATGTGGTGGGTGCTATATAGGACAAACGAACCAATGGCTCAAGAAGAGAGACTCACGAGATGTTACACTTTGTCTCAACATTCGATTGACACGGAAGATTTTAGATAAAAAAATGATCTACCAAAAGAGGTTATTTTTAGAAATACATCAAAAAAGAAAACAAACATCCAATCTCTAAGCAACATTTATTCCTTAATTTTTGATTTGTGCAAGAGAAGATGTTTTACTACAGTATGAATTTAATTGAGGAGTTGTTTTAATTGATTGCAACAAACAAACAAAAATATGATTTAATAATTTAGTTTTTTAATTTTATACTTAATTGAGCGGATAAAAATGTAGTTTGTTTAAAATTTCGGCATGATAAAATAGTCGTATTTTTTTAAGTGATCCTGCTCCTGGAGGTTATTAAAAATTTCATCTTGTATCTATCTAGTCTTCTTTCACTAGTATCTTGTCTTCAGCTAGGGGTGTCATGTCGTCTGCAAGTAATAAGTACTCTTCTTCCTGCACATACTGCAGTCATACCCTTTGTCATCTGTAAATAGTATCCGGTAATAATTTCGGTAAATAATATTTTTCCTTCGCGAACTAATGCTCTCGCAGCAGTAATCAGTCATTTACAACAAGATTTTAGCCTGCCACAAGCAGTATTTTATCGTTTAGTCTTCAATTAACAGTATTTAGTCTTCTACTAAACGTATCTAATAACCTGCCAGTAGTATCTAGTCATCTGCAAGCAGTAAATAAGCTTTTGTCTACAGTATGTAGTCCTTTAGAAGCAGTATCTAGTCTTCTTCCACCAGTATCTTGTTTTCAGCCAGGGGTATCATCTCGTCTGCAAGCAATAAGTACTCTTCTGAATGCACATACTGCAGTCATACCCTTTGTCATCTGTAAATAGTATCCGGTAATAATTTCGGTAAGTAATATTTTTCCTTCGCGAACTAATGCTCTCGCAGCTGTAAACAGTTATTTACAACAAGATTTTAGCCTGCCACAAGCAGTATTTTATCGTTTAGTCTTCAATTAACAGTATTTAGTCTTCTACTAAAAGTAGACGTAAAAGTAGAAGTACTTAAGTATATACAGGGTACATGGTATTTACCCAAATTTCAATATACCCGGTATTTACCCATTAGATACGTACCGGGTATAAACGTTGAGCCCATCTTATCATTTCATCGTTTAGTCTTCAATTAACAGTATTAAGTCTTCTGCGAGAAGTATCTACTCATCTGCAAGCAGTAAATAAGCTTTTGTCTACAGTATGTAGTCCTTTAGAAGCAGTATCTAGTCTTCGTCCACCAGTATCTTGTCTTCAACCAGTGGTATCTTGTCGTCTGCAAGCAATAAGTAGGTTTCTGCCTACAGTATGTAACCCTTTATCATCTGTAAATAGTATCCGGTAATAATTTTGGTGAATTATTGTTTGCCTTCTCTACGTTCTCTCAGCAGCAACCAGTCATCTGTCAGAATATTTTAACTTACCACAAGCAAAATTTTATCATTTAGTTTTCAATTAACAGTAGTTAGTCTTCCACCAGAAGTATCTAGTAGTCATCTGAAAGCAGTAATAATCTTCTACCAACAGTATGTAGTCTTTTGAAGTAGTATCTAGTCTTCTTCTACTAGTATATTGTCTTCAGCCAGTGGTATCTTGTCGTCTGCAAGCAATAAGTAGTTTTCTGCCTGTAGTATGTATCCCATTATCATCTGTAAATAGTATCCGGTAATAATTTTTTTCCTTCACGAACTAACGCTCTCGTAACAATAACAAGTCATTTTCAAGAAGATTTTAGCCTACCACAAGCAGTATTTTAATGTTTAGTCTTCAATTAACAGTATTTAGTCTTCTACCAGAAGTATCTAGTAGCCTGCAAGAAGTAATAATCTTCTGCCTACAGTATCTAGTTCTTTGGAAACAGCATCTAGTCTTCTTCCACTAGTATGTTGTCTTCAGCCAGTGGTATCTTGTCATCTGCAAGCAATAAGTAGTCTTCTGCCTGTAGTATGTAACTCTTTTTCAAATAAATTTTAAAGCAACGATGAGTTTTTGAGGTTGCTTCCAAAAAAATTGATAAAATTATAAAAATTGTAGAAATCTTAATTTATATCTAATTAAAGCTTAAACTGTGCTCTTTAAGGTAACATAATATATATCTCGTGAATTTCAATTTGAAGTAGATTTTGTTGTAATAATTTTAAACAAACTCTAGCATTACCAATGAAACATGATATGCACCCTTCTCACATTTCTGGGCTTGGTTAATGCATTTCTACCTCTGGTATTATCGTTGAGAGAGTCCTAAATAAAGCAAGATGTTGCATTTGCCATCAAAGTCAAATCAATTCAAAATTTCAAAAAGTCACATCCCCAATAAATTTTAAGAACAATATTGCATCTTAATATTCATCAAGGTAAAAATTGGACTGTCGCTCATTTAATTCTTGTATTACTACTTTGTGGAGAAGCTTCAGAGCAAAATCTTTGTGCAAAATAAGCTTCAAACTGATTTTTGATTTAATCTTATAATGTCATAGCAATATCGTGTTGCGGAATTAGATAATCATTTGAGTTAAGACTGAGTTGTCTGGTGATGATTATAAACTTTAATAAACAAATTAGATTTAATTTAATATTTGTTGTTATGAAGCTTCCAGCGACATCTTGGTTTGAAATGCTCAACTAAATAAAGATATCTGTAATATCACCCATAATAAACAATTTTTTTTTAAATCAAGATTAGACTACTTATTAATAAATTTTTAAAAAAATCTGAACTTAACACAAAATAAAAATTCAAATAAATATAAACAAAAAATAGGCAACAACGACATCTTTGTATGTAAGCTCTAACCTAAGCAATAACGACAACTTCAAGTACTTCGGTTTCCATAGTAACAAGAATGTGTTTATTCCAAATTTTGACACAAACAATTCTTAGTTGTCATAACAATTGTGTGTTTATTGACGTTCACAAGAATTTAACCCAAAAAAGTAATAAACAACGATGTTCAAAAACTTTAAATTAATTCAATCATAAAAGTTTAAAATGTTCTTCAATAAACGTAAACGAAAAAGTTTTAATTTCTGGATATCGTATTAAAAAAAAAAACATACTAAAGAAAAATTGATAAAAAGCGGTCTCTTTTTGAAAAAGTTTTCCTTTTCTGCACCAACTGTAATAATAATAATATGCAGGAAGTTCCGATAAAACCCAGAAGGAAAAGGGTGGATGTAGAAGTGCATAAAGCTGAAACACCATCAATTAAAACGTTTGGCGGAAATTATCCAGTCGTTTATTCAAATAGAAAATCAAAGCATCGAATAAAATCCGAAGATTTAAACGAAGAGGAGAAGTTGAATGAACGCATTAGTAAAAGACATTTAGTGAAGGAAAATGAGAAACTCAATAAAGAGATTGAATCGTTACAAGAAAAACTTACCTCTATGGAGTTGTATGTGGAAAGAAAAAATAATAAGTTTAAAGAAAAATTGAGTAGTCTTCAAAGTCTTAACGAAGACTTAAATAACGAAAATGTATCGCTTAGAAATCTAAATGAAGAGATTTTAGCTCAATTTAGAGCTTGCCAAAATGAATTGGAAATTGCAAGGAATTGTCAAAAATGTGAAGAATTTAACGTTTTGGTCGAAAGACAGAAAGAAGATATTACACATTTAAAAAAATCTAATTTTGAATTAATTGAAGATGTTGATATGCTAAAAAATGTGGTTTTTAGGTAAGAATTTTTAATTTTATTATAACATTTTTTTTTAAAGCGGGAAAAAATTCAAACATCATTATATGGTTTAAAAATCGACGATTTTTTTTAATCAGTGTTAAATGACCCAAAAAACACGTTAA